GACGTAAACGGAAGAAAAAAAAAACAGCAAAGAGAAAGAAAAGATAATTACAGACAGACACGATTTTCAAATGTTTTATTTTTATTTTATCACTCACTCAGATATTGCGTATTTTACCTGCGTAAAGTAGTAGGTGAATGTACTAAAATTACTTGAAAGATGAATATACTTCGTAAATTATAGAATACTCTGCTCCTATGGTAGACGAAAATCATGAAAAAAGACGAAAATTATGACACTCAACTCAACTCAAGTGAAAGTCAAATCATATCGATAGAACTTGACACCAATACCTTATACATTTCCTGTGTGTAGTCATATTCATTATTCTCTCACAAACGTTGATAGATAGATAATTAAATTAACAGGCCGAATCAGACAGATACTTAAACAGACCGATAGATAGATAGATAGATAGATAGATAGATAGATAGATAGATAGATAGATAGTGAATGAGTGAGTGATGTACAATATGGCAAAATATCATTTATCTCTCCACCCACGATTTTTCTTTCATTTTTTAATTTAATTCCTAACATTTGAGAGAATAACATTGTCTGGATGTATAACTAAATAAAATGAAAGTAAGTTAAAATCATTTCCACCAACTTTTCCAACATCTTCACCGAGTCATAAAATCACTGCCATGACAAGTGTCTTCGTCGCTTTCTTAAAACTCAGAATTCTGCACGCCAAGTAACCGTTTTTATGCAATGCTATAAATAGCGCAAAGCGGCAAAAGCAATGCATCTTATTCTGCAACAAGGAAGAAAATATATTCATAAACGAACCTCCACTATGTATGTTTTTGCCATATGATGAGTAATATTTGAAATGTCGTCCTCAAAATTAAAATGACACATCGTAGGAGTTGCAATTATTATTATATTGCATAATGTGTGGCCCTATAGCAGTATGACAACATCGCTACATAACAGCTACATCATATAATTTCAATAGAACAGACGAATATTTTCAGATCCTTGTACGTGCGATAAACAAATAAAAAGTAAGTCTCTAGAAAAAGGTCACAGAACTTTGAACATTATCGAAATGTATTGTTTTATAAGAATAGAAATTAACTCTTTGAAAAATGGGCATTTATATAATTTATTTTATTTATTATTATATAAAATATAAATCCAGTTTTTTAATTTTCTTTTTATCATAAATCTTAAGAATTTTTATTGTTATTAATAACTAAAAATGAAATGTGACTTTTTCTTAGCCAGTCGCTAAGTTGTGACATTTTCCAAAATTGTAACTTATTTTTTCTGATCACGAAATAAAAACTTCTTTTCTTCAAAGGTAATCTGGTTAAAATCACGAAGTTAACGGCACCATCTGATTATTTATTTCCTCTAAATATAACTGTGGACATTCAGTCAGTAATGTGCCATGCGTGATACACGCTTAGGCAATCATGTATCTTTCGATACATGACTGACGAGGCAGACTTTTTCCCACGGTGAGTTGCCAATTATTTCTGCGGTAGACCAGTTACTATCCAAAGCTATGTAGCCCAGTCTATCCTGCTATTTACCCATAAAGGGGGAAGAAGAGGATTCATACGTTAACCAAGGGTATTAGCACGTAAGTGAATGTAATGAATTTGAACTCGACTCTCCGATTTCTCAGTCCGAGCTGTTATCCACCGTTAGTCTCACGGTATACTCTAAAATTACGAAGATCGCTCCAAAAATAATGTCTCCTATTTTAATATATCGGCTGATCTTGATGATATAACAGTGAAGGATAAGCCTTCCACCAATAACCCATTTTGTTTCTTTTTGCCTCATTACAGGTAGCGATTGATCGGCAGACAAGTATAATAGTAACTTACATGAAAGTGCTTATGAAGCAGAGATGTGTGTCATTGTGAAAAAATACAGCTATTCGACGTTTGCTGAACGTTTATGGAGACCAAATAGTGGATGTGAGTACAGTTAGGCGTTGGGTAATACGTTTCAGCAGTTGTAACTAAGATGTGTGTGACAAGTCGTGCTTTAAGAGTGCAGCATGCGGGCTCTTTTTATTCATCGCTGATGGATTGATTGATGTGTCTTTTATGGTTTATCAACTTTTTTGCGGGTTATTTAAAGCCAGAAAATATTTTTCGATTGTAAAAATTTGGGGGTAGATAATAATGATTTACTTATATAAGTCCTACTAATTAACCCATAGTTGGGAGGAGAAGATTATTATTCATACTTTTCCCAAGGATATTTGCGTTTGCGCGTAAGTGAATATAACACGCAACTGGAATTGGAACTCCGCTCTCTGCATCGCTGGCGGAAATTCACAGACAATTGTGACAATTTTTATTAACAAATCTGCCTGCAAAAACGCCTGATAATTATGCACCAACCCAATATAATTTATAATCGAACAAAAAAACTTGTTTTTGTGCTTAATTTTTACTTTTTCTTGATTGGTCAATTTTTTGGTAATTTTTTTTTTTTTTTTTTTACAATTTGTTTTTATTTTTAGGGTAGACAAATAAACGCGTGGAAAATAAATTTTATATTCAATAAGACTTGTGTACAACGTACATGTGAACGTAGATCGAAATGCTTTTACACCGTGCACGGCCGACTCAAGACACAAACAACACAGTTTGTTTTTCGCATTTAGGAAACACGAGGGTTTTTCTCTCTCTCTCTTCTTCTGTCACTCTTTCAGACATTATCCTCCCTTTCCTTGTCCAGCACGAAATACACTACACAAGGAATTTTGTTGAAATCGCCTCTAAAACAAAGGGTGACACGAGAAACAGATAATCATTTTCTAAAAATTAGTAGACATTGCGTTTTTTTTTTTTATTCCAAAAAATCGAATTAAAAGACATTGTCACGTGGAAAGATTGACTGGTTGTATGATTAAGAAAACCAGCCTTGCAGAACTCAGAAAAAAAAAGAAACAAGTTAGACTGGTCAAATTTTATGCCAAACAAAAGTAAAAGAAAAGAAAAAAAGATCGATAATTCTGCCTTATGATTATTAAACTCATGCATTAACGATCACAGTTTGTTCATAACTTTATCTATCTATCTATCTATAACCCTGTTTAGTTTATCTCTATTTCAGTCAGTTATTTTTATTCTTTTTTAGTTTGTTCATCTATCTATCGTTATCAGTTTGTTTATATCTCGCTATCTGTCAATTCTCCCTATTTTTTCCAATCTGTTCAAGATAGATAATTTTATTATGAACAGACTGGGAAAAAAGAGAGAACTGACATATCTCTAGCTAGTAAACAGTAAACTCTATATTTCAATTCTAAGTCTGTTCATGTTGTCTACCTCTAGTCTAGTTTGTGTACGTGGAAAGCACGTTGTTTTATACGAAGGAATGGCTTTTTTAGTAGTTTAAAAGTAAAACACAGCAATAATTTGTTGACACATAGACTAAAAATGCTAACATTTTTAAAGTACATAGGTAAAAACGAAAAGAAAAACTGCTTTTCTGTTCATATTGTTATTGTTATACAACGAAAACCGGCTTAAAGGTGAATTGAAACTAAAAGACATATTTTTTTATAGTCATTTTTAGGATGATCGTTGTTGTTACGAGACGTTATATAATTTTATTTCCTACACAAAGAAAAACTTACTAAATGTAAAATAAAAAAAAATTAATATTGCCAATTATTTTTATTCTTAATTTTTTTTAGTTAATTGTTTTTTTTGTCACTTCCAACATAGCATATCAGAGTTTCCGAGGAAAAAAATTAGCAGAATGAAAAGTGATTATTTTTCCAAGAGTATTGCAAACATTACTTTAAAAATAATAATAATAGTCTTCTTGAAAAGAAAAATTTAAACGTTCGTTTCTCTTCAGACTTCAACATAAATTGAACACGCCACACATTTTCTTTTTCTTTTCCCATGAGTAAATAAACATTAATAAATCTGCTCTGTAAGATGGTATCTTTTTTTTCTTAAAATAAGACATTCATTCATTTGCAATATGTATTTTGAATTATACAAGCCAAAGAAATGAATAAATAAAAAATATTAAAAAAAGAAAAGACACTAAAAAATAATGTTTATCTATCGCATTAAATTTCTCAACAACCTGCACTGCAATCAGTTTTGTTTTGTTTTTTTGTTTTTTAAAATTTGCTTTAAATGCGGAAAATGAAAAAAAAATAGAACCTTTTTTTTCAAATGAAATTCTTCTCCAGTTCATTCATTCAAATTAAAATTAATTAATTGTAATTTGTAAGTGAGGTATTTTCTTACAGGCAAGCAAGATCGATCGATGTAGTTTCATATTCATTTATTTACTAAATAAATTAGGTTTCACTTTAATCTTCGTAAATAAGCTTTGAATAAAAATTCATGAAACGAATGACACTTTTATGTACCATACTTTATTCTTCGAAGGAAGGCATTATTTACCAAAATGCCATTTTTTAAAAATGAGCTTTTTGTGGTATTATTACTATTAATTAAAGTTCTTTTCTGTTTTTCTAGCTATTAGTTGTCACATGTGGCGACCTTTTTGATAATATAAAAAAAAAATGCTGTTAAAATTGACATTGTCAATAAATAGATGAATAAATAATTAAATTATACAAGCAAAAATAAAAAATAAATGTGGACTAATATTTTGCTCCGTAATCATCTTTGTTCGCGTTTTTTGAGTCTTTTATTTTAATTTAAACGAAAGTAATCTAGTAAATAAAAATGTCCAGAAAATCTATCAAATTGTCTCTTGTCAGTCATTCAAAATAGTCACTAGTCAGTCAGCAGGCAGTACAAAAGCGAAACCTGCGCCAACAACAGAGAACAATTTTTAATTGATTAAATTAAATGTTTTTTTTGTTTGATTTTTTTTTTGTTCTTTTACTGTCAAGTGTGCTTGTAAATGTAATTAGTTGAAAATGAATTATTTGTTACTTACGTCGGACATCCAAAAGTTATCCACAAATTTTAAGGACATGATGTTTAATAAAAGCGTGTGTGGATGTATTTTCTTTTTAAGGTAATAAATTTATGACTGAAGTCGACAGCAGAGAGAGAGGCGAATGTGAAGATCTGTTGTTTGTTGTTGGGGCACCGACGTAGGGAAGAATTGGGAGAGGCCGACTTGAAACCGTCATAAGTGTGCCTCCGTGTGTGTCTGTGTGTTTGTGAGCACGTTCTGTGCGAGTGCGAGTGTATGTGTGTGTGTGTGTGTGTGTGTGCTTGTTTTTTTTTTGCGTTATGTGTCTCTTGGCGTGTGTATGTCGATGTTAGTGTGCATACTTTGCAGTATAGCGGCACTGGTTGTTGTGTACGTATATGGGAGTGCACATGTACGTGTGTTTGTGTCGACGCAGATGCGTATGTTCAAGCAAGTGTGTGTAAACACACGAGCGAGTCGGTGATAATAAATGTGTGCGAAATGAAACCAATATTCTGGAAGGAGAAAACACACAACATTGTGTGCGAAATTATTAGACATTGTAGTAAAATTTAAAATTTTAAATGAATGTCTTGTGTATGGATTGAATTTTTTTTAGGTTTCGTTTAGGACATGTCTCCCCTCACTCTCCCTATCTATCTATCTAGCTAGCTCGCTACACACACACACCTACACACACACACACACACACACACACACACACACACACACACACACACACACACACACACACACACACACAAAAATACGTTCTAAAAACCCCAACTGTGTGTGTGTTTTTGTGCATTAGTTTCTTTAATTTTACATATGCAGTTTTTGCTTGACTGAGATCCAAGTGTGTGTAATTAAATGACTGAGTGTGTGGTATGTTTGTGTTTGTGTAGTTTGTACTGTGTAAAGTATACAAAAGCAGAACGCATTATTATTATTATTATTATTATTATTCCTTCTTTTCTAAAGAAAATATGCAGTATTTCTTTCATCCTAAAACTTTTATGTGTTATTGTTATGGCAGGCAAATAAAAACGTGTTTTTGTGAGTTTTATGTTTAAAAATTATACGTATTTCGAAAATGAAGTGGTTTAATTTTTTATTTTATTTTATTTATTTACTATTTACACACAGTTACTGTGTGTGTCTGCTACAATGCAGGCGAACGTGTGTGCGTGTACAACAGTGTAATGCCTTTTTATTTGAGTGGAGTGTGTGTACCCTTTTTGTTGAATAAATGAAATTGAAATCTATTCGTGACTTTAAATAATGTGTACAAAATACATGTGTCATTGGGTATGTGTAAGTAAAACGACCATTGAATATGCAGTGGATTTTTTTTTCTTTTAAAAGCACAATTATTAGGAGGAAGGTGAAAGTAAAACAAAGAAAGTCGCTCTAGAGAGAAAGCCTATATTATTGGATACCTTTCTTCTTTTCTTTCATACTTTCTTTTTTTTCTCTTTCTTTGTATCCTCTGCTTCTTTTTTATTTCTTGGTTTCTCTCTTTTTCCTTTTCTTTCTTCCATTTTTCTTTCTTTCCTTCTTTCTTTCTCTTGATGTTGTTTACTTTCTTTTTATTTCTTATTTACTTTCTTGCTTGTTTGCTTTACTTTTTGCTTTCGTTCTGGTATTCTTTCTGTCTCTGTTTTAGTTTTTCTAATTCTTGCTCAGTTCCACATTCTCCCTTTAACTTACCCTAACATCTTTTTCCTCATTCTTTCCCTCTTTCCATAATCTACTTACTTTATCTCTTCTTCTTCTTCTTCTTCTTCTTTTACTATCAGACTTTTCTTCTTTCTCTCGTTTTTTCTTCTCGCTATCAAATAAACATAATTCTTTACTGAATCTCTCTCTTTTCCCCTCTTTATTCTCCCCCCTCTCTCTCTCTTCTTTCTTTCTTTCATTTTATTTTTCTTATCTTCAACCTTTCTTATTTTCCTTTTTTTTGTTGTGATCACCTTCTTCGACGTTTCTTTGTAAAAAAAGTATATACATTCGGTTACACACACTCTCTTTTTTCAGTTTCACTTTTTCTTCTTCTTCTCTCTCTCCCCACTCTATCTCATTCTTTTTTCTCTCTCTGCTCCTCAATCTACTGGTCCTTTTTCTTTTCTTCTTCAATCAAGCAAGAGTAAGAAGCATGACTTAAAAAGAAAAAGAAAAACGAGAGATAGGCAGATCAAAGTTAAATAAATAATGATATATACGCCTACAATGGTGCTTTATTGCCACCGTTGCCGCTACGGCCAATATACTACTACTAGTGACAAATAGTCGTAAATGGTAGTAGTAGTCTACTATTAATTACTATTAGTATTAACTATTTTTATATTTTAAACACAATAACTGCTATTAAATTACCGAAAAGATGTGCATTACTGCTGAAATTCCGCCGAAATTCACAGAATGTAAAAGTACTTCTATCTAAAATTAGAGAAAAGAGAGTTTTTTTTTGTTTTTTTTTTTTTGGCAAAGGCATTGGTTCGGTGGTTTCTGGTTTGCAATGATTAAAAAGAAACGAGCCTATCTGTTTCAGATGACAACAGCAACTGTTAGATAACGATTACTACTACTAATGTTAGCACTTATATTTGACTTATTTATTTAATTATTATAACCAACAGCAATCATTCTTTTTTTCATCTGATCGAGTGTACGGAAAAGTACGAGAAAAGCCGATTATTCACGAAAATCCATCAAAGCAAGTCAACTATCCCATCCTCTTAAAATCCAACCTGCTTTTTTGTTTTTATTGAATGAGCTAAGCGATATAAAGGTTATTCAATATTAGAAATGGAATGGTAAAAATAGCTTAACTTTCTCAAAACCGCCGATAATGGTGAAAATAAAATAAAATAATAAAAAAAGCTCTTGTGATTCCAGTGTTCTTGAGGTAAAGAAGCTAGCTAGACGATATAGAATTATGGAATTTAAATTTAAATTTTATTTAATGATGTGCTTCATGAAAAATTTAAAGTGGCATTATTTTATTATTATTATTATTATTATTATTATTATTATTATTATTATTATCTGTTTCCTGCTGAGGAGAATACCTTATGGGATCGTTACCTGATACCTAGTGTAAGGGAAGGTGGTAAGCAAATCTAAATATGCAGTCTGTTTTTTGCAGAAATTCTAAAGTAATAATACTTACAGACAGTCTTTATAATTGTTGATATTTGGTAATAATACTCAGTTTACACTTTACAGTAATTTTACTCTCTTAAGAAAACACGCTCTTCAGCATAGTTTCTTCTATCTTTCTTCTTTCTTTTTCTTCTATTATTTATTTATTTATTATTATTATTATTATAGAAGAAGAAGAAGAAGAAGAAGAAGAAGAAGAAGAAGAATTGAGACGAATAGGGTGATAAAAGGACAATATGAATCTGTGTGGAAAAGATCTATCTCGGCACGAACCTACGTCCGAAAATTTGAAAACAAACATCACAACAATCATAAACTTTGACTTGCGGTCTCTTGAGGTTTCTGGTTGAAACTTGGGGGTAAGCTCGATTCAAAACATTATTATTATTATTATTATTATTATTATTATTATTATTATTATTAATAATAATAATAATAATAACAATAATAATAATAGGTGCAAAAAATTGCTGCCTCATGACGTCTTTGGTTTTGGTCTGATAACGATATGATAAATGTGATATTAGTACTCCTACTCCTAGTCATGACTGTTCCTCCCCCCACACACACATACGCACACAAACACACACTTCCTTTATATAAAATTATTTAAAAAAAAATAACGACAATATCATTCTTTTTATAGACAGAAAATGACAATACCACTGATAGCGTTAAAATGGTAGCTAGTGATAATGACGTCAGTGATGATGAGGAAAAGAGGGAGATTGTTTAATCAGCAACCACAATGATGATGATGATGACAGTGATGAGAGCGTGCACTGTTTTCTTTCAAATCAAGAAGAGATCGTGATATACTCGAGACCATGAGGACCGCATTCGTGTATAATGCGCACTTGTGCATAATATGGACACACGTCTGTAGGTGATGAAATTTTGGGAAAATATGTCCAGAATGATAGGCAATGATTTTTTAGAATTCCTAGCAGCTAAATTTAATATCTACTTAACTTTTTTTTTATGCGGATTGCATTAACTAAAAATAAGAATTTGTATAGTCTACGTTATAAACAGCGTATGATTGCAAAGGAAAACACAACCAAGGATTTAAAAAAAATTATCAGCGTGTATTCATTAATTTTCAGAATATATATAATTGTGTAAAATGGTTACAAAATTGTTGATATACCGTTCTTTAGTTGCTGTTGGTAAGGGAAGTGAATAATTGTAAAAGTGTTATTGGTAAGGCCGGGAGTTGATGGATTTGTTGGATCGGTTGACCGAGGTTACGATGGTGACGACGATAGAGGTCTGGAGTGGATTAATGAAGACATTTGGTATTAAGGATTGGGTGTCGTTGGTGGGGATTGATCATTCTATCTTCAGGATTGAAATTGAGACCAGTGAGGTGCGTGGGTGGGTCGGCGGTTGTTTCATGAGGTTGAGGAGTCTGAGCCGACCTCCCTGTTGTCGACGAGGCGCGCCGTTTTTATATCTGTTGTTTAGCTCCCAGGTCCATTCATTTTTTTTTTCTATTTTGCGGCAACATTCGTGATTGGCTATTGCATTTTAGATTTTTGTGGGTATTTGTTTTGTGGACCGCATGTGATGCTCGGAGCTTCTACGCAGAAACCAACTTTTTATTTGGGGTTTTGCTTTCTTAACGCTCACATCCGGCCGACATGTCTAGTGAAATGTATTTGTGAATCAGAAAGAGATCTTAATAAAAGTAGTATAACATTTATATATTAAAAACAGAATTTCAACAGGATTTAAAGCAGGCGTAAGGCCATTTTCACGCGAAAAGATGGCGAACATATGTCCACACAAGGAAAAACGAAATTATAAACAAGCACACATTCCAGTGGTTAGTGGCTATTTGGGGTCTTTTCTGTTAATTCACCCGAAATAATGTAAAGTTACTTATTGAAAATATTAATTCATCACAAGAAATTGTAAATTTTAAATCAAAGTTTGTTTGTTTTTTTTTTGTTAACTCTTTTGAAATTATAATCAAAATTTGTATCGCTTGCCTCGCATCACCCCCAACCCTTCAAATGAAAAATTACCAAAAATCAGAGAATTATTCATATTTGGTAAGTGCGGATGATATTCGAGGTACTTACAATCCTTGCCATCAATTTTTTACAATTTAAAAAAAGAAAAAATCTGTTTTTTGACTTGTTTATCGGGATGAGCGTGAACGCAGGCACCACACTTAGAAATAGCGCACTTAAGTTGTTCACATTTTGAGCGATCGCAAAGGTCAACACAATTAGAGTACAATGGAAGAGCCTCACCCCAAGAGAATTTGGTGTGAATTTTAGTAAATATAATTATTTTTTTTTATTTTTTTTAGTGGGAGTGGTTAATATTTTGGGATTTTCCGCTATTTCTTTGTAATGGCGCGGACATTACGGTTATTGATAGTAAAGATGACATCCTTTTTGAGGAAAATGGACAAGGTGGCTTTGTGGACGACGACGACATCCTGACTGACTCTCAGGTTCTGTTGGGGGAGCTAGTTTAGTCGCCAACCACTCAGGTTTCGAATTCAGAGTTATCCTTCTCCTACACCAGTTGCCATCGAAGTCTATAGGACCCGGTCTATCCTGTCATTTAACCCATAGATGCGAGAGAATATTGATTCATTTTTTACGGCTTATCAACACTTTGCAGGTTATTTAAGCCGGAAAATATTTTTAGAGTGTAAGAATGTTTATTTTTGAGATAATAATGATTTAGTGAAACAAGTCTTGCTAATTAACCCATAGCTGGCGGAAAAGAGGTGGATTCATAGTTTGAACAGATGTTAGTTTTAAATTATAGCTGTTAAATGTCTGACCCGAACTCAGGCACACGTCTGTATTGGCAGGTTTATTATAGGAGAAAGAAAATAAATTCTGTATCAATTCCGCGAATACAGATACGAATTAGCACCTCCTTCTTATCATCCAGTGTCACGCCCAGAGCCTTACCTGGTGTCTTAAAGTTTCAAGGTCGTGCATGGATCTTCAAGACTGGGGCAAACTAGATGATGTTCCATTGTTTGTGATTTTTCCGCATTGGCAGTTGGTGGTATATACTTATTTTTGAACGTTGGCTTTACATCGACCAACAGCTGTTTGGGGGCGATTCGGGCAGGAGCGTGTAGTGTAATAATTTAGGCACACAAATACAGTAACTAGTTCTGAAACTATTTCGCCTGTTGAACAGAACATAAGTATAATGAGGTGGGTGGCTGCAAAGTTCTCAGCCGGACCAACTTCCCAAAATCATCATTTTAATGGTCAAACAACAGAATATTGATTTTGGGATAGGGGTCGAACGGAGAACCTTTCAGCTACCCACCCACCACTTCATATTCAGACATTTATCCTGATGTTTTTCGATCGTCACATTCTCCGACCTTCGCTCGAGCATGTTCATTCCAGTGTGCTATCCAGTACATTTTATTATCTATGCAATTTCTCAGTCTCCTTTGGAATTTGGAAGATTTCACAGATCTGAGCGTCAAAGCTGAAATATTAGAGTCAGTCTGAAATTAAAAAAACTGACTTTGTTTACTTTGCCAGTTAAGTAAAGCAAACAATGTTGGAAACGAAAATCAAAGAAGGCGATAAAGCCACTAGGACGCAATAGCTTACTGAGGATGAAAGACAATAAAGTGAAGCAAGCTGAGAAAACTTTACTGAGGAGGAAAATGGACAATAAAAGAAGATTCAAGGAGACAACTAACGTTGCAATTAAATTAGAACATTGTAATTGACGGGAAAGCAAGAATCTGAAAGAGTGTTCCACACGCGAGAAGTGCGAGAGAAGAAACTATTAAAATAGAACGATTGCATTTAGCAATTTCAACAGTAAAAAATGAGACCGAACTGCCAAATTAGTACTTCTTTAATTTTATAGATGTTATAACTACTAAATAGTTTCATAAACTGAAGTGATATCAATATGACAAACATATTTATTTTGATTTTACGGGAAGCAAAACAAGGAAAATAATGTTTATTTTGTATCTTTCTGTTTCAAGTTGATAACAAGCTTGATTTTATTTGAGAAGGTTTAAATCTTAGAATCGACAGGTGTGTTTTAGGCCTGACGATTGAATTTAAACATGAACAGACTGTCGCCTCAGGGTGTTAACTTCAAAGTCCACTTTTATATTTACATACGATCAATCAATGATAATGAGCACATTAATCGATAAATATAGCATAACTTATATATATATATATATATATATATATATATATATATATATATATATATATATATATATATAACTGATTTAAAAATATTGTTCCATCGCTACACAGGAATTACCATGATTCAAAAAAAACAGAAACTAACAAATACAAATTCAATTATTTAATTAAATTAAAAGCACCATATATCTTACTGTTCCTTCTTTTAGAATATATATATATATATATATATATATATATATATATATATATATATATATATATATATCTTTTAATATATATCAAATTCTCCAAGACTGTTCATATCTATCTATCTATCTATCTATCTATCTATCTATCTATCTATCTATCTATCTATCTATCTATCCTTGTTCATATTTATCTTTTTATTTATGTTCATATCTATCTATCTATAAATCTGTTTTGTATATATATATATATATATATATGTGTGACAATTAGCCTGACGATTGCATCTAGCATTTAACAGACTGTCGCCTCTGTTGACTTCTATCTTCACTTGTATATTTACACACGCTCTATCTCTGAAATTGAGCACTTTATCCCATAAATATAGCACATCTTAAGACTATATTTCTTCACATATATATATATATATATATATATATATATATATATATATATATATATATATATATATATATATATACGTTCATATCTATCTATGTATCTGTCTATCTATGTATCTGTTAGCTGATTATTTTCATTACCTCAATTTTAGAGCTTCTTTCTGTAATTGTTCAATTCACTCTTCAGGAGGTTTCATCACTTAAATATCATTTTTCTCATTTTGCGTTTCCTTTATAGTACTTTTGATGATGCAATATATATATATATATATATATATATATATATATATATATATATATATATATATATATATATATATATAATAAAAAAGAAAGAACAGTAAGATATATAATCCGGTGTTCTGATTGATATTTTTACGAAACAGTGCTCAATGTAAATTTACAGAGCATAAATATTATAAATTAGCTTAATTCAAAATATATATATATAAATCAAATTAAATCCTTAAATTATTTTAAGGATTTAATTTGATTTATTTTTGTTATTAATATCTGTGCCCTGTCTTTTGGTACCAGACGCTATAATTTAAAAGAACGCTTGCCTAAAACATCATTCAAAATTAACCTGGTCGAATGTTTTTGAAAAATGCAATCTTTGTTTCATACACAGTACTAATAATTTTCGAATAACAAATGTCTGGTCAGAACCTCATATTTTAGTGTATAGACCTATTTCCGTTATGAAAGATAGTAGGTCATCTACATCGAAGTTTTCGAATATATTCCTTGTGTGTTTGTGAGTATGTTCTTTCTAAAATACAACCGTGGGCGTCTGTGTCTGTGTTTCCCTCAGTGCGTATGTGTATATGTGTGCGTGTGTATTACGATATTTAATTTAATTCTCGATTGTAAATGAACTGCGCACCATATGCTGCACAAGATACAGTCCATAATTATTCGGAAAACAGAATCAACAAGCGAAACAATTCTCGTTTGGCATCCCCTACGTGCAAAAGACAAAAATCCAAATAGCTCTGTTAACTGAAATTGTTTATTTCAACGCATTGGCTTGTGACGACAAGAAAAGGTAAACACAATTTGGGCTTGGTCACTTTCTCTCTGTCAAACTTACATGTCTTCACATTAACCTCAAAGAGCTTCTGGAACTATCATTATAGAAGTGAAAATGGAAGATACCGCGTCATAAATTTGGAGCATGATAATTTCTTAATTAGACGTCGGTTAATTAGGAAATGATGTTGTCAATGACGCAAAATTAGCTAATAAAGATATTTTTACTTTATATATAGACTTGATGAATTAATTATGATTATTTCAAATAAGTCACTTTCACTTTAAATAAGTTTCTTTCACTTTCTTCGCAATATAGAGTCTAAATAGTTACGTCAACGTCACCGAGATCCGTTGGTACAGTTGGTATGACGCTTGCGACGTATCGTAGCGTTCTGGGTTCGATTCTCAGTAGTGAATGAGCACTGTTGAATCCCAAATACAGGATGAAACGGCCGCCCAGTTCTTTCTACGTCCTCTTGAGGGTTCTTCTATACTCGATGAATTACGTTTTTATGATTATTTAAGATCCTCCTAATAACTTCTTTTTTTATATATATATATCGCTGTAATGAATACGCATATTTGAGGAGACGTTTCGTTTATTTTTTTAAACAGTATATTTATTTATGAATAAAGACAAAAGAAAATTCATATTGTTCTTTTACAAATATACTCCATGTAAATTTTTCATAGACTGATATAAATGTAAGAATGCTGGCAAGACTAAATAAAAGATTAAATAATTTTTTCTTGTCTGTCATAGTCAACAAAACATGTTTTAAAAAAAAAATACACATTACCATATATATATATATATATATATATATATATTCTGTTACGCCCGGGGTTTCGTTGGGACTACGATAGCCGGGACGCAACGAGAAAAAAAAAAAATAAGTAAGAGATCCCAAGGTTCGATATAAAAATAAAGAAAAGAACGTTGGGAGGGGAATTCTCAATTCCGGACGTCGGTAAACGCAGAGAGAAAATGAACAATTCGCAGACACAGAACAACAGAAGACAACACGAGAATATATAATACAAGGATTTTATTTATAGAATATACAAAGTGTGAATGTAAGAAAAAGAAAACTAAATAATGCAAGGGATGGGGAGATAAGTTACCAATTAAACAGATACTAATGCGGCGAAATACATATGAATACCGAGATAGCAGATTATAAGATATGGAAAAACATGCAGAAACTTACATAAGGTTGGAATCGACGTCGATTGACTATTATCGGGGTACAGTTTGTTCAAAAGGATATTCATACACTTCTCTGAAAGCAAAGGGTGGGATTGACAATGTTCTAATATGAATTTTTGACTGGCGACGTCCAATCCGGGTTGATGGCGAGAGAACACACAGAAAAATCACGGGAGTGTAGCCGACTTGGGTTGACGATGTTGATTTAGATTCTCGCGTCGGTCCTTTGGTTTTTGGTGGCATCTAATTCTACTGGCATCAAACAACGAAGTCTGGTTCTGGTGACAACTGCTTCTTCTAATGGCAAATAGCTAAGACTGGTTTTGGTGACGTCCGACTCCTCCGACAGCCAGCAACTATGTGAGGTTGTTGTTACCTCAACACATGCGAAACGAAAACTGCTATCTGTTGAGTCATGTGTTGGCCCCCCAAAAAGGTATGCGTCATTCACGGACCCTGTTAATGTCATCCGCACTTATCTGTCAAACAGCGTTCGTTTTGGCCAGCGACTATGGACCTGGCTAACAACATTCGCACCTATCTGTCAAAACAGCGTTTGTTTGGCCTACGCATCAGAGCCCAGGTAGGAAATGGGGGTACAAGGGAAGGTTCTTTTCCGAGAACTGGCCCTGGCTCATCTGGTTATAAACACAATATATATCTCACAATCTGCATATTCAAGAAATAAAGAAGTTATTAAGATTCATATGTTTCGTCGCAAATACAAAGGGTACTGAAAATATACTTATAAAATCTGAGGTGAGGGTACAAATATGGGGTTAACGTAACAATATATATATATATATATATATATATATATATATATATATATATATATATATGAATGTAGTAGAGTCGGTTTACACCGTGGTCCAGATGTGTGTTTTCAGACATCGAGGCGAGGATCTTGATTACAGTTGAAAATAAACGGTCTAACCATAGTCTTCAAAAGGTTGGTTCCGCCATGGTATGCTTACCAAAACGACTCTTCATGTAGCGTTAAGCCATTGATCAAAAAACTGTCGAGAACCCGCGAAAAAAATTGTATTTACTCGACCCACCACGAAGTCAGGTTGTGACACAAGGTCTGTTTAATGTGGGGAGCCCGAGCGCGTACATCCGGGCTAGGAACAAAAATTGCCCGCATTCCCCACAACCGTCGGTTGCGCCGCATCGATCCCTCTCTCTGGTGCAATGAGAGGGTGCGGCCTCGGGCAGCTGTACCACAGGGGTAGGCACCTCTCAGTATAATTTTCCTCAGTTGCGACTCTGTCCTTTGACGGAGTCGCCCCTGAGTGCACTCTGCCCAAAGACAGAAACGCGACTGAGAGATGATAAATAGGGTGTTGCAAACTACACGAGAGTAAAAATACACCCCCCCCCATGTGAGGAGCGGCTGGTGGCTGCTGGTTTTACGGCGTAGGAGTGTTACAACAGTGCAGGGTTTTGACGCTACTTCCAGCTATAATGAAAGCCATAAAATAAATCTAGGTTATGAAGTATAATGTAATTGGTCATAACGAACAGAAAAGAAATAGTATTTCTTTTGGATAACCAGCGTAAAATATCTTCTAAACGATGTACAGAATTAATAAACGGTCCAAGGATAAATTGAAAGCGTCCGTTTGCTGAATGCAACAAAATAAGAGAGTAACATGTCGTTATGATAAGTGTTGCTTGTTTTTATTATTATTGATTACTTAATTATTTGTTGTTGATTATTATTATATTTACTTGTGTTTATGTGCACACTCGTAGTCTGTTAAGTTGTTTATTATTTACTTGATTTGTTTACTTTTGTTGTTAATATTATTGTTATTTTTTTAAATAATTGATAAAATCCAAAGAATCAGCAATATTATTAGTCCTAACCTGACGTCTCGGTTTCGTTCACTTTCCTACCGCTATCATGTAGATTTCTTGTGCCTTTTCTATAAATGCTTACATGATAATTGTTCGGATGAACTCTTTGCCGTGGTTCATTGAATGACTTTAAGCGCAGTACTAGATTGGCGGCAAAGTCTCATCAATTCACAGTTGAATTGGTTAGATGTAACCGTAAGTTCTATGCTAATAGTTTCTTCTCTCTTTCGACTCAATGCTTTCCAAACTCGTTAAAAATTTACCTGCAATCTCAATCGTTATCTACTTTCTTCTTGATTACTCTTCTATTGTTCTCTCTCCTTAATAACGTTTCTCTTTTTTCTTATTCTTTCACACTCAGTAAGTCCTTGTGTCTTAGTGGCTTTGCTGCCTTGCTTGGGGTGATATGATTAAAAAAGAATAAGCAATTAGTGAAGATCATTTAAAATTATAGTTTTGACTCTAGTCTATGATGGTCACATGGCTTCTCTTGTTTATTGTATTATAAGGGATAGGTGCGTCGTCGGGCCTTTGTCCAATCCTTTTTTTTTTAAATTTCCGAGCACACTACAGGTGAAAGAGAGAGGTGGGGTGGGAGAGAGAGAGAGAGAGAGAGAGCGAAAGAGAGAGAGAGGGGGGAGAGAGATTTCCAAGTACTGGGAATTTTCTAATCGTCAGAAATTGAGAATAGGCTTTCCTCACTTGATCCTGTCAACAA